CAAATTAGCTGAGAATATTTTGATCAGCTTTTAGCAGTTGGTCACAAAAATTATATATAATTCTAAAAACTGTCAAAACCACTTCACATGAGCAAATTACTTTGCCTCGAACCCAAATCATTTGAAGTAAACAGTCTATGCACCATGCTGCCAAATATTTTTGCCATTTGTTCAACAGGGATATTTTTTGCATCTGATTGTTTTTTGTTTTTTTTTTTCGGATAACCACAAGCAAGTTACTCTCGAAAAATTAAACAACATTGAAATGATATTTTCTGAAACAATTTTGTGTTGAAATTACGGTACCGCGGGGAAATATTCTTCTGCAAGTTCACTTGAAATGTAATAAGAAAGTATGTATGTATGTATGTATGTAGAAAGTCGGGTAAGGAACAAAGAAAAAAGCACAAAGAAAACAAATAAATTAAAATGTGGTCATTCGCCACAGCCCGTGGCGGCGAGACATTCTAAACAATGTCAATGAGCGGGTCAAAGCTGATAAAATAAGCAACTGGGGGATTTCTAAGCAGCAAAGTTCGCCCAGTGAAATACTTCAGTCGCAGAACGACAAATTAAATTAGAATGAATATTAAAAGAAAGAAGAAGAAAAGAAAATTAAATTAATCTACATGCAAAAGACAAAACAGGTGAAAATCTGTTGGTTTTAAGGACAAATATATGTATGTACGTACATTTATGTTGACAATTAATTCCAGACTTTTTTTTTAAATTTATGTAGCTAGAGTAGACGCGAAATGTGAATTTCGCAAGTTCGGTCAGTGGGTTACCCCATTGCAGTTTGCTGATAATTCTTCCTTTTAATGATTGTTTCATGAGAAGGGACTTCCACATTCATTTACGGGAGGATTTGAAGAAGTATTACTTGTGAAGTCGTAACTCCAAAAAAATTTAGGCGTTTGGTGGTGCGGTGGCGGTGGAGTGTCCATAAGGTGAAATCATATAATCACCCTAAGATTCCAACGTTTTCTTTCACTTTTAGTGCAAGGATATCACTATCTATAACCCTCTCCACTTTGAAAGTATCCCAAATTGACTCTTACTATTTAAGAAAAAGAGTAACCCACAACAGAGAACAGCTGATTTATTTTTTGTAGATGGCTGCCCCGCTCAGTGGGAAATGGTTATTTGCATATAATTTCTGTTGCTTTTGGCCTCGGACATTTATCGCTGGGAGGGAAGAAATAAGTGTTAGATAAATTTTTGTCACTAACTAACTTATTTAAAAATATACTAAACTATAATAGCACCTACACCAATATTTAATTCTGCTTATACTGTTATATATGGACGAAAAAAAAGATCAATAACATAAAATAAAATAAAATAAAATAAAATAAAATAAAATAAAATAAAATAAAATAAAATAAAATAAAATAAAATAAAATAAAATAAAATAAAATAAAATACCTTATCATGTTAAAAATGTGCGCGTTTTCTTCTGTGTCATAAATGCTCGCACATATATGTATATGTATATCCTGCAAAGATATGCCAAACGCTTTTCTTCCGCTTATGTACGTCTGCTTATATTTTTTTGTCTTTCAATAACCCAAAAACGAAGACACTTAAAAATAAAAGTTCCCGCCAAAGTGTCTTTAGGGAATGGAAATTTAAGCAGTTGATAAGAATCACAAAAAGATCACTTTGAGAAATGCTCTTTGCTTGAGAGATTTGTATTTGTGTCAGTGAGAAACACAATAAAAAATAAGTTGACAGGTTTATTTAAGTAGCTTTTGAATTTGTCCTGTCCGAAAGATAAAACTTTATCATATCAATTTTAGTCAGTGGGAAATTAAACTTGCTGAAAAATTTTCAACGCAAATTTAAAATTTTAAGGGGTGGTTTCTCCAACTCAACTTAAATTAGTTTAGTCATTTGGTAGACTTAAGTCAAAAGTTAGCCTACTTTTTACACAGCTTATTCTTGACTAAGTGCAAAAAATTGACTAAACGAAGTTAAGTTAAGTTGGAGAAACCAGCCCTAAGTGTTTATTTGGTTGACTTAACCACGAAGTAAATTCTAAATAATAACTAAACAAATGTTGCGAAATTATTTGCTCTAATGGCGAGGTATTTACGCTAAAACAAACTGCCACATACATATTGGTCATTCCATACAATATCTACATCTCACTATTTTTTTGTTGCTTTTTTTTTGTTGGTGAAATATATTTTTTTACATTCTTCATCGAAAAAAGCAGACACCTTTTTTATTTCGTCATGATATTCGAAAATCTCGAAAAAAATATTCCCGAAATTTTAAACTCACGGGGAAGTATCTTTTTCCAATTGTTTGCAGTTAATAAACTATTTGTCGAAGAAAATCAGTAAAGGAGTCAAAACCAAAATATTTTGTCTATAACTTTTTAAATAGCCTAGCTGACGGGATGTGGATTTCATATGACTCAATTCTTTCCCAAGTCGAATTGGTAGGTCATTGCTTATGGCCACAGAAATACCGGCTAGAGATATCTATAAAAACCGGTGCAACCCGATTAGGAAAAACCGAGGTGTAACAGAGTGTCCGAGCTATTTTACAGCACATCTATGTAAAGTGTAAAGAAAAGTACGTCAGTAGAAATATACAGCTATTTAAGCATGCTGACAATTGAATGGGTCCATCCGCTTATGTATACCCTGCCTGAAAGGATTTTTCACTAAAAAAATATACTATACATATGTTCCAGTAGTTACTAGTTCGATCTTTTTTAGCATATTAGACTATAATTGAAATAATATGTAACTTAAGGAGCAAGACAAATTCCTTTAACAAAGCTTCTATACCGTCGAGGCTTCTAATATTTAGCGCCTATATATTTGTGCATAACTGTCCAAAGGTATGCAAAAGAACATTAAGAGAGAAATATAAATAATAACGAATGGGACACAAGCGTCCCACCGCAGCGCAAATGGCAAAGAAAAGCGCAATTTTCCGCTGCAAAAGTCTAACAAAGTCTTATTGTGGTGCAGCACAGCGGGCAGAAATACGTTTTTTTAACCTTTCCTGCAAATCAAAAGAAAAAAATCCTTTGATGTTGCGGTAAAGCAAAGAATTTTTTTTTTTTCCCATATATTCAAACATATTTGTGTACACATGCTTACATAAGTCCATACGATTCTATATGTATTTGTACTATATATGCATGCGTACTTTAACATACACATGTATGTATATATATTTGTAGGCATATAAGTATGTAAACACGTTTCACTGAGGCGCGGGTCGCTAACTATTTGCCATGTCCATAATTTTTTGTCATCTCTACAGGTGACTTAGACAAAAAAAAACACTGTTTTGACTAAATTTGACAAGCCAAAAGGCGGTGTATTCCACACCAAATCGAATGATGGAAATACTGCCAGAGAATTTTTCAATAATGCTGGCTTGCCCGCTTGGTTGGTGTTTTGCAGATGCTTAATCACGACCACGTTATGTTTTATTACTTGTTATAATTACATAGAATTAAAAAAAAGAGAAAAAATTACTCCACTGGAAGAATTTTTGGGCGCTCGCTCAATAAAAGCCCGTCCACTGTGCCATGTGCGCGATGCAGTAACAGAGGCAGCTTTATTGGGTTTAAGAGCCCACTGAACTCCGCAGCGTCTCTTCGCAACGAAGTACGACTGCAACCGGCTTACAACCTGTCTTACAACTTATCGGCTTACACTTTTAGCCTGCATTCAGAAATCGTGCCTCTACATAAGACAAATTTCAAATGAAAAGGAAAATACAGCCTGTTCTCTTGGTGATTACCAGGGCGTGCGTTCAAAGAATTATGATTTATGGCATGCATCTGGAATGTTCGGACTTAAAATAAGAAAGCTGCCTTTACACAGCTGGTTGATGAGTTGGGGATGGATAAGGATTATATAACCGACAATCAAGAAACGCGATAGACCGATGCTTGCGACGTCGGTAGAAAATAATTTAAAGATGCAGCGATTCAATTTAAAAAGAATAAGAAGTTCCCTTACTTGATTTAATTTAACTTTTTTAAACTAGCCTAAAATAGAATTTAGATGATTGGCCCGTAGTCATAGTCAATATAAAGTCGACAGTAAAGTTAGTTGCAGCATTTGAACATAATTTTCAATCGGATTTTTGTCAAAAAAGCTGTAAGTAACTTTACAGTCGACTTTATAGACTTGGATGGATGAAGGTTTAAAAATGTCTCGACTCCGGCGCCACCTAGCAGCACAAATACGGTGTTGCATTTTTGTGATATCCGTACGCTCAACATCTTGGTAATTATTTATCACTCTTCAACTTAAGAGAGCTGTTCCCAAAAACTTAGCCTCCACCACAAAATGTCCTATAATGGACTTAAACTGATCGCTTTCGCATGAGGCGCAAAGCATGGAATTCTACAGCACTAGGTTCCAGAATAAGAATCTACATTACTAATATGGCTGTCTTCTAATTGGAAAAGTACTTACCACCAAAGCGGTCAAGTTATGATAGAGGGTCGACACGTTTCTAGATCTAGTTAGAATTCAAGGATCAAGATAAGAACCCTATGCGCCTATGCCATCGAAAAACAATAACAACCTACAGACAGTATTGTCGTCACTCGACTCCAAACTGATTAATGGAAGTGACGGAAGAGAAAAAATTAGTTAAAGTTGCAAAATGTTAAACTGTTTTTAAATTTTAAGTAATACCACTATTGGAATAATTAAAAAAAACATTAATAGAATCTAGCTGAATTTTAAAATAAGCGCTCAAGCGATTTCTCAATAAAAAAAGGGTTTAATGCAGATGGGAACACAGAAAATGCACTAACTCCCAGGTATGAATACTTATGGAATTGTATTAAAATAAAGTGCACAATCGATAAAGCAAATGCGTAAAATTACTTTAACCAACTACCCGCATTAAATTTCGGTCTTACTTATATATATTGGCACTTACTTATTTACAAATGACTTCTAAGTAAATATGTAGTAAATGCATAGATAATCCCGCACTCCTCCACTCACCTCTGGCTGGCACCGGATCCTTTTGCGGTGTGCCCAATTCGATTTCCTTGTACTCCTGATACAAATCACCAATTTGTGCTGTGCATCGCAAAACCAAACCACCATTGCCCACACCTACACCAACACCAACACCAATTCCAATTCCACCGTCGCCGCCATTGTGTGTATTATAGGGCACACCGATAGCAGCCTGACTGCCGCTCAGGTGATTCATCAAGTGCTGGGTATTAATGGCAGCAGCAAAATGTGCTGCATGCAATTGCAGTTTCAGGCTCAGTCTCGACGCTATTAAATTGTCAACCGTTCTGATGTATTGCGTTTCGCCCGTTGATACCTGTAAAATGCGCAAAAATGAAAGAGAAGTGAAATTAAAATTAGAAAAAAGCAAACAGTAATGCTAAGCAGATGGAGAATAAAGCAATGAATAGTTGGTAGTTAAATAGTCGCATGTAATGGCTAAATGGGAGCAAATAGGCAGATAGGCTGTCCTTGGCATGTGAATATGCACAGGTACAGGCGTACATGTATGTAGGTTTTTTTGTATGTATGTATGTATTTATGCGCTCTTGCTATAGCTACATATATGTAGGTGAATATTTAGTATTACAGGCACCGCGCTAAGCTGCTAAGAGATTTAGTGAATGTGGTTGTGCATGTGCGAGTATAGTTCAGCAAATCGGTCCTAGTATGTGTGTAAATTTACACACATGCATACATATTTTTTTTTTTGTAGTTAGTCGCCGATGGTAGTTCTTGGACGTATGTACAAAGTACCGATTAAGTGCGCTCAATGAACTCCATTCAGCTTAGCTTTACCTGTAGCTTGTCGTAGTTTGGCTTATTTCTACTGCTTCGGTATATCAAGTGAAGCGATTTTTTGTGGCGACGGCCAGTTTACTTTGTAAATTATTGTAGTACAGTGATTAATGTCACTTGGCGTGTATGTGCTGACGCTAATTAATTTAAAAATATAGCACCTCAAGTGAGCAAGTAATGGACTTTTCGACTTTTGCTTGTGGGTAGGTATTTCAATTTAAGTTTTTAAGAGACATTTAAGTTTCCTGGAACGAGAACTGATAACGGAATGAAGGCGTTTCTGAATGATTTTTTTTATCATAATATATGGTTAGTTTTTACTTGTGACAACTTACGCCTATGTTATTTTTTTTTATAGCAGCCTTCGGTACAAAACTAAATTTAAGACAAGCCTTACAATTATCGGACATAAAACGCCAGATGCTGACCGAAGTTCGCCAGGGAAAATACCATCCATGCCTGGAGATTTGTGGGGCTGGAAGGACTTTATGGCTCTCTTTACATCAATAAAACCCGCTGAAGCTAACGATCGCTCAGAGTTAATGAACGCGGTGCTAGGTCTAGTAGTACACCCTGGAAAGTGCGCGCTCATTAGGACTTGACGAATTTCCTCACGAGATGAAGTCCAGCCGCAATTTAGTTACTGAATATACATCGGGTTCATCGGACTTCCCTCAATACTATCGCAATAATCCTTCCAGGAGTCCCTTTGGGCTTTCCTGGTGG